TTCACAGATACAATTCTCGTAATGTTCACGTACAACCAATTTATTGGTGATTCGATTAGCAAATCAATGCTCGCCAGTCCTCTTCAAGCGTAAATTCACGTTTAGTCGCGCGCGGGGGGTAGTCGACGGTGATCTCGAGTGCACAAAACCTAATTAAAGCCGTCCTGTCAGTTCATGACACGCCAATTTGTATCAAAGACGCGTTATTAAGGCGCTAGAAGTGCACGTGGTCGCCAGATGTGCAGAGATTTCGCGACGATAAATCAACTTCTAGAGCCTTAATTCCTCGCGCGATTAGATGGTCGGAAACACGAATAAAATCAAAGCATACCGGGCGACCCCATAAATCCGGACTTGTAAGTTTGAACAGCGTGCATTTTTATTTTCGCGTATCGGTATCCTAAACGTTATTAATGTTTGACCACGTTGAATATCCGATTACGTTCTCTCGAAATACATCGGCTTCCGATACTGTACACTTAAAACTTTGAAACAGAGAGCTGGAGGTCCGTAGGAGGTCCGCAGAGTGATTCTTGAAGTTGAGATTTAGCGAAGTATGTTCTCGTCTCGCGTAACGCGCTGTCGAACTGATTTTTTTTCTAAAATGAATTCCATTCCACGATCCTCGATTTCGATTTTTTTCTGTGTTTTTGGATCATCGGAAGCCGGATAAAGGGCAGGAAACGATGGCAGAGCGCGGGAAAAAGGCAGCAATACTCGAAAATAGCTACGGCGGGCGTCGACTGTATGGTCTGACAGCGGCACACGTTGTCTTTATCGCATTTATAACTCCATGCGTAGTCTGTGCAGCTGCAGCTGCGGTTAAATAAACTGCGTGCACCGCCATGCTCCGTGCTTGTAAACGAATAAAACAATGCCGAGTCCATTGACGTCATCGCGCAATAAAAAACGACGAACATCTATAACGTTGAACATTCGACTTTTACGTATCGTTAACGCTTTCAGACGAAATGGCTCGCGTGCGTGTAACCTGTAATCTTAGTCCAGTCGATCGACCCACGTCGCTCTCTTGCTTTGCATCATCCTTTTCCTACTTCGATCTACTATTAGTAAATCCCTGTGATCCGAAGCAAACTGGAAGTAAAGATGTGAAACAGTTGGTTGGTCGATTTTCAAACAAGCAATCCTTGCTTTCGAGGTTTGAAACAAGGAATTTCTTCAAATTGATTTTGTTTTATGAACTTTTTATTTTTTAATAATATTGTATATTAGGATGTTGAAATACCTTACTGTACCAGTTACAGTTTACTGAATACGCGACACCAGTTAGGGGTTAAGTTTCACTTTTAAACGATACACTCTACTTAGAAATAGACCTAACACCTAACACCTGACACCTAACATCTGACCCCTGACACCTGACACCTAACACTAGGTTCGAATGGATTGAAAATTGTACGATCAATGCGCGATAAAGCAGTATCGGGTTACTTTATACTATGTTGCAAGGTCTTTAGTAAACTGGAGCAAAGTGTGTAATGCAATCAAGGCAAATTGGAAAGATATAAATGTGCTCTACTTTAAATACGGTATACGGTAAATAAACAATATAACAGAGGTTTCATTACTTTTGTTTACGTTATCTATTATGCAACGAAGAACCAGACGATTCAATATTTCAAAAAATTAATAGAAAGTAGGAAAAGTTCAGAGGGGAAAAGACGATTCGATGTCTTATTAGACCGCGTATAGTTATGCATTTATTGGAAATTTAAGTTTTCAAAATATTACAGAATGCACTTGATACACAAAAGTAAAAGAAATACTTGAAGTAAGATTGAGACAACCTTCTATAAAGCTCCAGTTTCGTTAATTCTATTATTGGAAACATGAATTTGCATAAAGATCCGTAGCCTAGGTATTATATATTTCCCTTCTTCATTCAAAACCACTGTCTGCAATATGTTATGAAATTATCTGTCATGCCTGTTTCCTACTGTAACGAAACGGGAGACAGACATTTTACGAGATTTCGTCGCCGTCTGACAATCACGTAACCGAGCTATTTATAGAAATATCGACGATGATAAATTTTGACGAATAGTAAACACGGTTAATTAGACGCGCGCCGGTACTCAGCATTACAGCTTGAATATTCGTGATCGTACATTTTTAGCAAATTCTTTCCGCTGTACGTTCGAGTTGGACGCGTCGAATGTCGCGTCCGGAGTTTATTGAACGGTCGGTGAAAATTTATAAGTAGCAACGAAGTGAACTGACACGAGATATTACGGATAATAAATATCGCCGGGCAGCTTTAAAGCGTCTTGTTTTATTTTTAGTTTGTTAGCTTTTTCTAGCCGGGCGTCCGTCAAACTAGAACCTTTTATTTACAACGCTAACATAATCAATGGACTGTAAACTCCGTCGAATCGCTATTCTAATTTCGGTTTGCAAATATACTTGTCATTCCGTGAAAGCTACGCGCGTTGCTAACTTGGATGAAATTAGTCCATTGTTGGATACGGTTACGTTCGCGAAACGTGGTTCATTCGTGCGATTTCCAGGTGAAAATACGTGCACGTTCGCGCGGCGTGAAATAGAAAAAGGGCACGAGTCTCGCAAACCAGGCCAAATACCGATAATACCGTAGCCCGATGGGGCCTTTTATATTCATGTCTCCACCATGCTGGACCTATATATTTTTCCGCAATTGGTTTAATAACGAAATTATTTACCGCTTTCGTCGAGCATCGCGTCGCTCGAAAGGCATCGCGGAATGTTCTAATAAAATTTTGCCCCCTTTTCTTCTAATAAGCAGTTGCATTGAGGGATCCTACATTTTCTTAAACGTCGACTAAATTGCCACAATTTGTAATTTGTTTTCAATAATAGAATTCTGATAGTTAACAGTTGCTATTATTAAAAAAATATTTTGCATGCCCATTGAAGAGAATCTCAAGAGATCGTGTGTTTCTCGGCTTAATTGTTTGTCGATTTTAATTTTAAAATCAATTTTTCATTAATTTTAATTCCATTAATGGTCAATGGTTGACATGACAATGGTTGAATTTTAAGAATGGTTTTAGAATATCAGAATTAATTTATGCAGGGGAGGAGCATTAGCGTAAAACACTCTGAGTGACGGTCTTGTGTATAATAATTCATGCATGCAGGTTGATCGTGAAGATCGTTTTTCATGCTCGCGGGTCTCGTAAATTCGGGTTGCACGTGTTGCTATGATAAACACATCCATCGACAAGCCGAGGCGTTAAGATACTTTTGGTGATCGTTCGATTGCCAGTAGTATTTTCATTTGCGCGATATTACGATCCCTTTGCAGCTAATATCGATATTAAAATTGAAGGGGATCTCGATAGTCGAAGCATTTTTCGAGGATAATGATCTATCATCAAGGTGCACTTCAAAGTTACATTTCACTCGTCAGTTTCTTTAGCGGAAAAATTCGAGAGAGAAAAGAGTTTACTACACTCTTTTTCTTTTCTTTATAATCAACTTTTAAACACTTTAAAGAGGAAAAAGTCCGATGCACAGAGTATAATTACTGACTGCGAGGAAACATTTACTTTCCGTAAGCTTTATTAAAATGGATATCGTCTCGATAACGATTATTTATTTCAGCGATGAAAATTCTAAAAGTTTCTATCAACTCTTCTGTTAAGAAGAATAGTCTCGCGCTATTGGAACATTTTCTTTTATTTTCTCTCGATGACACCGGCGTATTGAAAAACTTTTAAAGAAAAATTTTCATAACAGATTAGGGACGATGTGTGTTCAGTTCCCGTATTACGTGGAAATGAAATCAATATCAGTCGCTTCCATCTGTTTTATATATTTTCTTTCCGACGAATTCGTGTAACAATATTTGAATGAACATTTCCCTCGCGTTGCGCGCTCCTGCAGTTTTTAAAAATGAGAGGCTATAATTAAATCCCGGGATAAACAACAATTTCAATATACCTTAAAACAATTCTGCTTTGTTTCCGTTCAAATATAAACTTCGTGAATCGCTTAGTCATTGCATTTTGAGCCAAAATCATCGTGGATTAATTACTCGAGTGATTTTAATTAGATGTTCCCCATATTTCACCGAAGTTTCGAAACAAAATTTACTAAATGTTTGAATTACAATAAGATTCCTGGCAGTCGATGTTGTCTCGCCAAAATTTATATTCAGTCTCTGGTTAAAATCTATGCTCGAGAGTCTATTTTCTCCCTGTAACAGTGTCTCGTAAATATGGACCGATTAAATTCATTTTTCTGCCGAATTTATTCGCCAAAGTGTATTTTAATAAAAGATGTTACAGAGTTTTCTTTATTATTTACTTTTTTTTTTTTTCGCGATGCTAAGAGTCGTTGCTATTTTTGGCACAGGATGATATGGTAACAATGCGGTCGTGTTTCGCGAATTTCTGTCGTCACGAAGACTGAGAGACAACCTGCGGGCTAAATGACGACGTACGAGGATCGTAAAGTGCGACGTAATGTTAACTGCTAATGGACTTTCAGACCTCGACGATATTTCCATTATAATAATTCAGACTTCGAACCGCTGACGTCATTTTATTTTTAGACTTTACTCCACTTAGTCCTGCACGATTATACAAACAATATTGCCAATAACAACAGTTTGTAATTTAAAAACTTGTTTTACTACTAGTACTTAAAGTCAGAATCTGATACATTAACTATAACGAGCGTAAGATGGCGAAGTGACTCTAGCTATTAACTTGGTGTATTTCTTGTTGGCCAATTATTGCGACATGGATCGAGAACAAAGGGAACGCTTTAAATAAACTGTGCCATTTCTAAGACGGTGTTCGCGAAAAAGTTCTCGTGCAAACGTCTCGCGACTTAAATCTACGTTTCATTTTGAATGTGGCACTTAAAGCAGTGAAATTCCTTTACGAAAGCTCCAAAAGAAAAATTGATTAACGAATCGAACAGTGAATAATTGCTCCAAATTGTTTGTAATTGTATTATTGAAAAGTAAAACAAATATTTCGTGTTGTTTTCAGGTGGTTCGGACCAAACATTACATAACAATGAAATAAACAAGAAAGAAGAAGTCCCAAACATATAGTGAGTCCATTTTTCAGAGATTTTCGAACGATTATGACGAATAATGTATAAAAATAAATTACTCGTCTTTCTCGTAGAAAAGGAATGGAAGTCACCGAATGGAATTCATCGAGCATAATGACGAGAGTAACCAGAATGAGTGCCAGGGAAAAATAGTGAAAATGCTTGACATTTAAATTGAGTTGAAGAGAAACAAAGCTTAAAAGAAAAAAATACCGGGGAATCTTTTATTCAGAGGAGAAATATTCGACAAAGAGTAAAAGAAGGAGAACTGTGTTGAAATCAAAGGAAAATATAGCAGAACGTCTGAAAGTTAATTTAAAACAATTTTATGAACGCAACAACGACGGATAAAGATGCTTTTAAGGCAATGAAAGAATCAGTATGCGATATCCGTATTAAAAGAATACTTGAAACTAACTTGAGATAAACTTAGAACCAATAATTATGGAATCGAGTGAAAAAGTGATCGTTTAAAATGCGAAAATCGTAAAATTTTTATAAAATGTGTATAAAGTTTGATTAATTTACAACAGCGGGGCATCAGAGATTAAATGTTAGTAACCGTGATAAACAGTTTCATGTAAAGTAAACGCGATCTCCATATCAAATATAACTAACGAGACAAATTATCAAAGAAAACTCAAAAGACATGAAATTACCGAAGATTAGTTTTGTTGCTTTAAAATATGCATAGTTTTTACGTCAAGTATGTAATCAAAGAAATACTGATAGAAATGTTGTGAGAACCTTTTTCCCGTGATTCATGCATAACAAATGAAGATCTGTAGCGTGGTGGTGCATTAGTTACGCAAACGGATTAAATCAGACCGCAAAGGAAAGTAATATCGTACAATTTTCACCGGATACGAGTTTTCAAATTGATATTGAGAAAATTAAACGAAATGGCGAGCCGAATGAAGTCGCTGTATAACCAGGTAAAATATTAATTCTTTCCGGTATTCTATGTAATTTCATTCCAGTATTCAGAATTAATCATTCGAGTCCTTTCGCGGTGAAGTAAAGTTAAGAAAAATCGCTTCAAAATTAATTAATTCTTTCGTGGTTTCAATTGCTGCTGTTCTGTAAAAATTTATTTTACCTCGTTAAATGAACGTTGATTAATGCATATAAAAATTCATTTTACACTTTTCTGCTAAAACGTTTGGCTGCAATTTAAAAATTTCAGCAAATCGAAGTTACGGGCTAAAAGGAACCAGTACTGTTGGCTCGTACAATAATTAAATTCCAGGCGTCCATTGATCGTACCCTTAATATTGACAAATAAAAAAAAAATTTACAAGTGGAGTTGAACGGTAGTGGATTGATTAAAAAAGTGGAGGATTTCAGGATTTTAAAAATATCTCCCAATAGTTTAAGCGATTCGTTCTGCGTTAAATAAAGTCGGGACAAGCTTGAAAACTACGAAATCGATATTTACGCTCGTCAATGAGTTGCACCTTTCTCGGGGCGGATTTTAAGCTGAAATCTCCATGGTGCATTTGTCGAGGAACGAGCAAATTAAAAAAGTAAAACGATACTAGACATTTCACGCTTTCTACGCCAAGTACGATGATTGAGCTGCCTTTGTTTCACTATTCCATGCTTCGCGTATTACGCGATGACAACTCATGCGAGACAACGGTTCTGTGTTAAACTCACGATCGCTCTTTTCAAATTCTGACCAGAAACCACTGTAAGACGTACATTTTTTAAAAAGATTCGAAATAAATGTTACGAGAATTGGCATCCACTTAGAGCTGTTATAGTTTGTTAGGAAGAGCAAGAAGTATTGTTATTATTCGTGTCTCCGACGAATTGAATTGTAAAAGATTTAAAGCGATTGTAATTCAGTTTTATCCACTTTTCTGGTCTCCTATGATAAGCTTTGCTCGATAGATGATTTTATAATGTAAACAATGTATACTTTGTAACGTGTATTGTACAGGTTATCTTTGAGAGGCGAATTCTTTTGGGTTGCACGGTTCTCGTGGGACTGTCGGTTTGCATATGGTCGGTGGCTATTGGAACCGATCATTGGTTCACCCTTCAAGCACCGGGCGAAGGGGGTTTACCTCTCGGGGATGCTGGCAGACCCGGTAGAAGATTGATTTACAAACACATGGGTCTCTGGAGAGGCTGCACTCATGGCATAGAACCGGGACCAGGAAATTCCACCAGCCCTTACGGTAAGTGAAACTGACTTATAAAACGATCAGTAGACTGTGGATGTTTATGCATTACTGGAAAATTTTTATTCTCAACAAACTACGGAACTTAATATGCAAAAATATAATTATTATATTTAGGGGTTGAAACAACCCTCTACAAAGCTCCCATTTCGTTAATTCTGATTCTGCAGTTCGATTATCAGAGACCTTATTAATGTTGTTTAAATATGCAAAGAATAAGATTTCATTTAATTTATTCCCTATCAAAGGATAGAGAGAAAAGGCTTGTTTAGAATCCCACAACGAATCGAGAAAATGAAAAAAAGCCACGAGTAGTAACTGGCATTATCCATAAATCGATTTTGCACAGACTTTAATCAAGCCTTGGGGATCAGAATTGGCAATTTAAATGTAAAGTACCATCGAAACGTATCCAGCTGTTCAAATGAAATTGCGTTAATAGACATACTCTCCACCGTGCATATCAATATTAATAAAATGTCTCTTTCGATAAACGCGATCAAATTGTAAATGTTTTTAAAAACAACGAATTCTGTTCAAATCGTTTAAGAAATAATATCCCTGCTTTCTCACTTATATTCTGTTTGTAATTTTGATACGTTCGAACGAGTAGCGTTAAATTCGTGTAACAGGCAATTTTAATGCCCGTTAAGAATATGAAAACCGTGACAAAAATTGAATTGAAACATCTTGATGGAAACGTAGTCGCCAACTATTCGCTTTGTAGCTGGCTCGAAAGTCCCCCCGGCATGCTTTTCCAATAATTAAACACGCTACACGTGATTTACAATCAGGCGGGCCAGTGTCAGACGCAACGTCGCAACCTGTTTAAAACGTCTAAATTAAATCCTTACAAAATGTGCCACAAAATACCAACTGTCCAATGTAAGATGATGGCGACGTTTCAAGAAGGGCGGGATCGTTGACCTATATAAATAATGGAGGAAGAGTACACGCAGAATCGAAAACACTATTTTCGAGTCCGCGACGACAGGAGAAAGATTTTTAACAAACAAATAGAGAGTCTCTGTTATTTCTCCATACACGATTTACCTTCGTAAGCGATTAACAGATATTCATTTATAATTTTATTATAATTTATAATGCTACAAAATTGGTGATAGAGAATAATGAATTTCTATTTTTATAAGAATGTGCTTTACACGTCGAACGTGTTTTTCTTGCTTCGTTATCGATCCGTTTACAAAGTGATTGCCATCCTTTAAATAGTTTCATCGTTCTTCAGGGTTCCTTTGCGTAGTAGGCACTCGACCTTCGGGTCTCTAACGACCCAGCAGTCATACGAGTGACTATGGCTAATTATTTTGAGTATATCATATTCCTTTTGAGTAACACAGATCAGAGAATTTGTGAAATACTTTCGTAAGGTAAATCGCATTCTTTGAAAGTTTTGAGGATACGTAGATACTTGCGTACCACTTCACTGCCAGAATGATTAATCGTTGCGTGCGTTGTCTTCGTTCGTTTATCCCTTAACATCATCTACTCCGGATTAGACCCATACGCGAACCTCTATAACGCAGTTTGATTTATTACATTCTTGGTTAAAGCCGATGTAATCTGGCCAGGCAGATTTCCATCGAATCTGTCGCCGGGGAGATTTACCACGGGTTGTTAAACCGAACGTAACTGCGAATAACTCGTCTCGATGCATTATCCGTAACATTTATTTACGCTCGAATATTCTATTTACATCGTATCGGTAATTTACTTTCTCCTCTCTCTTTACACCCTTTCGATCATTTGTTCGAATACCCTCGATCAAAGAACGCGATCGCTTTCATATTTTTCCGTACACCGAGCATTCGAAATTCATACGAGCGGATGGCGATGCTGCTATTAATATCACCGGGTTTCATATTGTGCAGTTAATCAAGCAACGTCAGAATCCGCGTCTACAGCTCCACGCTCACTTGTCATGCGTCACATACAGTGTTCCACGTGTGTGCTTCATCATACGTACGTCAGTGTTACTACATTGCACAGCTGTAACGTCGCCCTGGTACCTCTTATATCTCTACGGGAACATGTCAATTTCACTATGGCAGTTTCAGCCTCGACTTCGCGATAGCTGCTCAAAGGAATCGTGTTTACTTCGTAATATTTATAATGTTCTAGACTAATATTTCTCAAATTATTTGGATCTTGTCCTTCCATGATTTTGCACAAAAAAAACTCCCGCTCATACGAAATTAATTAATTCCCCTTACGAAAGTTTATTTTAGACGCAGATTCACTTGGACAGTGAGACAGGAAATTCACGTGGAACGAACTCGCGTTCCTAGGCAACAGCAAGTGGATTTAAAGACCATAAAGTCAAGAATGCGTCGTGAATTTAATAACAAGATTTACCGTTCACATCTGAATTATGAATTGGTCGCGGTACGAATACGAAGTACATACGCATTCAGTGTTCGATCGTAAAAGTATGAAAATTGTTTTACTATTTTTACCAGGAGGGACCTCTGTCGTCTCCCTTAAATCTCACCTGTTATTTCTATTATCTCACTTTTATTCGCCTCGAAGATAACGCTATAACAGGCAATTGCGTTTAATTTACGTGCTGGAACTTCTATGGTTCGTTGTTGCCCTTTTCGATAAAATAAACGAGGACTCCAGAAATAAATGAAAACTTCCCGGTATCTCCGTGTTCTGTTTTTCTCTCTGCTGGCCAGGCTTCTGCTCCTTTTACGGTCACAGTGTTCTTCCGTTTCTTTGAAGCGTATTAAGAAGATACGCGAGTTCCTCGGAGCTCGAGGAAATAGTTTGTGAAAAGTATCAGTCGAGGTAGCGCAGGAGTTGAATGGTAGTGATTTAAAAGGGATCGTGGGGGAATTCCAATGCGAGAGCAAAAAATATATTCGATATAAGAATCAAAAAAATGCGATCTTTAAGAGAGAGGGATCTTGTTTCGCAGAAAATTGAAAAAACAGTTCATGAAACGGTTCCACGGTCGATTCTGGAGAAAAGCATTAAAGTCGTAAATGTAGCCTGAAACTGTCCATAAAATGTAGTACAAAATCGAAAACATAAAACACAGACTTACTGGACGTGTGATTTCGTCGAACACGTGGGACAACGATCTGATTATTTCTTGAGCAAATAAATAAAACACGTTCTCGCGTTTGTTCTTAAAACACGGTTTTAACGAAAAACAGCGTCATTTTTTAATTTAAAAATTGAATACGATTTTGTTATGCGTTTCAAAAAATAGGAGCAATATATGATAGTATAAAGTCACGAAGTATGAGGTTTTAAAAAATACAACAACCATGAAAGTTTAAATTCCATTTTGGGGTCGTGTAGGCCACGAGGGAACAGCAGGGATAATGCATCTATATTATTTAATATAAAGTTTCTTTCTCGAGGCAGGAAGTTCGCAGGTTCGTACACGTTGTTCTCGTAATTTGGAAAATAAGCTGCACGTTGGACATTCGTAGTAGAAACGAGTTAAATATCAGGTTCGCGGTGTTTTTGTTTCTTAAACTATTATTGATGTCTTTGGGTAAAAGTAATTTATCGCTGGGCACAAATGAGGTGTTCCAAGGATAGATAACCGGGATAAGAAAATGATAAATTGCTCCTAGAGGAATGAAGATAGACGAGAGGCGATTACAGTACACCAGAGATTTAGCTTTCGTCGATTCGCGCGGCCACGAAGTATGCATTTTAATGTGATAACGATTTTTCAGTCGAGTGCAAGAATCAGAATATGTTCCCGAACGAAACGCAGATCAAACTGGATCCAGGATTGAACAGAACCGTCATCAGTGAGTGAACAATTTCGTCAGAAATTAATAAATAAATGTAAATAACAGACAACGCCTATTGTTGTACTAAACGAAATGCTTATATCCGTGATTATAAAGGGTTACGTATGAAATGATAAATGTTAATGATGAAAATATGACGCAATTGCTTTCAGATTATTCGAGGACACAGGTATCGTTCGCAGTAATCAGCTTGTTTGTGATGGTAATGAGCTTTTGTTTCTCGATTTACACGTTCCGGAATCCACGGTATATGTTCAAACGGCTGGCCGGTGGAATACATTTCATTAGTGGTAATTAATTGTAATATGAGTTTCTGATTAGTGTAACGCAACTAAGGTAATCCCGTCGACCTCCTGAATATCGCTCCACGTTCACTTTGTAACGTGTTGAATTTTTAACGATTGCAAACTCACAATTATTTCGATGAAAATGTCGAGTAACGAATAGAGAGTAAACTACTGTTTGCATGATTAAAAGTTTTAGTTGTGGAATGATATATTTTACAACAAACTGCGTTGGTCTTGTTGCTACACTAATAACACAGTTTTTTTAATAATTATGCAATACAAATAACAGACGTATCAATTTTAGAATTTTATAAAATTCTGCTGGAACTGTCGAGAATTTTGTGTTCATTTGTTTTAGATTGAATATTTTTGCTATTATATTTAGCAGCAGATAGAACAAATATATAGAATATTTTTACCAGTAGCATGGCAAATATCATTTGTTTGATATGTTTTGTTATAAAATAAGAACATGGTATCTTAAAATATACGCAAGCACGATAAATCTATATTTCACGCTTGTTAGACACTACTCTCCCTTACTTTATGTAACCCTATTCTATTTCCGTCCTCCTATTATTTCCAACTTCATGTTATTTATTCGGGAGTTATTATTATATTACAGTCGAAAGATTGTTTCAATTTTCGAACATCGAATAGAACTATCAGTGATCCAAATAAACAAATACCACATTCGTTATAAAATGAGATTTCGAAAAGAATATATCATTCCATTAAAAATAGAGAATCAACGATTTTAAACAATCCTGAAACCAAAGACCTGTTAATTTACCTGTTATTCTTTTCTATTTTTAAAAATAATCCAAGTGACCTGTTTCAAATACCACAGCATGTACACGTAATCTACTTTTCCATTAATAATGCATTTCAAGTAGCTGTACATTAGTCAATAAGTTCCATTCGCTAGATTTTAGAGCCTAGAGTGGCCTCGAAAGATTAAGAATCGGAGTTAAAGAGTTTAGCGTGGAAAAGTAAAACTGGAATTCGCATAATCGATATTTCTAACGCGTTTCAGGTGCTTGCAACATGGTGGTGATACAGGTGCTGTTGTCTTCGATCGAGTTCGAGAGTAAATACGTGCACGCGACGTTTCCAAAGGGCGTGATCATGAGGTACGATTACTCCCTGATTTTGGCCTGGATCGTGTTCCTCTGCAACCTTCTGTCGGGCTGCGCCTTCATGCTGTTCTCCAGGAAGAGGAAGAGGGACAAGGCGCCGACGGAAGAGATCGCAATGGCCGATGAACCGACCATCATCGGTCGTTGATTCGCTCTCCCGTTTATTTGTAATTTGTGACCATAGAAACTCGTGTCGGAAGAAACTTGTGATCCAGGGAATATCGATGAAACGAAAAGACGTACGCGTAAGCGTCGCACGTGATGTATGTAACAGGACAATTGTTCGAAGACTCGCTTGAAAGCTTGATGCATTTTGTGGTCATTTGATAGGAAATTGGGTGACAGTGCACTGGCCGGTGTCTTAATTGCGTAAGCTCTGATCGTTCATTGAAATATCTTCGAATAAACATTTCAGCTTTCGCGTATCTTAACTATATCGAACTTTGTTTCGTTTCATTTTTTATAGATCAAAAGGATGCTCCGATTTTTAATCGTAAATATGAGAATGCAATTGAAATTTAAGAGTTAGTTGTTTTCATCGAGTTCAAACTGATTGCCAACAACGGTTGAAAGTTAAAACACGAGTGCACTGCCATTCTTCGAATCTCTACCTCCTCCAAACGATTAAATTAGTCAGCACAATTGCGAACGTACTGCATTTCAGCGAAACAATTGACAAATAAGGACCCGTCTCACTGTTTTGATACAAATTACTGATAATCAAAAGAAATGTTTACTATTTTTCTACCACATCAGATTATCGAAATTTAGGATATTTATTAATCGGGACCACTGAGCATAAATCAAAGGATCTCGTTTACTTCATTTTGTCAAAATAGTACTAATTGATTTTACGGCGAATGGGATTAAAAATAAAACGGTGCTTTCTACATTTGAAGCGATTCGATTCTTGTGTTCAGGGAAATTCAATGTTTTTATTCACGCACGTAGAATGTTCCGATAGCAATAATCTTTGCGTATTTACGGTTGACTGAGAAAATACCTGAACGTTATCTCTGGCAAGAAGTGTTAATTTAAATAAAACTATTTTTATTTTCTTAAACTTCTTATCAGAATCTGTTGGGACGTTGAAATTCTATCTCTTTTCAAAGTCGTGAAGTTAAATAAATTACTCTGTATATCTTCAATTTTCGAGCATGAAAGTTTAATGAAGAGTCAGGGGGCGTGCACGATATTCACATTTTAAACTAAAAAAAGTCTCTACCGTTCGCGCAGGCGTTACGAAATGTAATCAAAGAATTTTTCATGTTGATATGAAAGTAACACTATTAGTCTCTATTTAATATGAAAATTTTTATTTTTTACCATATAGTCGTGAGAGTATTTAGATACAAATAAATATTTTCGTAATTCTCAATCATTACTACAGAAACAATATACTGTTTAATAATTTGCTAAAAAATTTATTCTTTTCGTCAAGTAGATAAAAATTAAATTCATTGAAAAATTCTTTAAGGTAATATTGATATTTTCTTGCTCGTAATGTTATAGTTTACGATACTAGTCACTGTTTACCATTTAAACTGATAATCAATATTCTAAGCTACTACTTGGTAGAAGGGAGAAAGGGAGGATTGACCTTACGGACGCCAATAGTGCTGCTTTCTACTTAAGTAAATTGTTTTTCGCGTTCGTAGCTTTCCTTATTACCGCCGTTTCAGTAATTTTTGAAAATGGTCGAATATCTATTTGAAAAATATTTATAATAAAAATGAAATAACAATATTTATCTACAGATAAATATTCAGACACAACTGTACTGTCATACTTCACTATCATACTAGAGATACAAAAACTAAAATCTACCTTCAGTGATCTTTAATGTCAGGACCGTTTTCTACGAGAATAAATAGAAATTAAGGAATAGAAACTTCGACAAAGACTTATTCTACTAATTAAGGAAGTAATGTGTGTACAATTTCACAACTGGACGAGCCTGTAATTTTTGGGGAAGTGTGGTAGAATTACTCGAATAGAATCTCACTATTTAAACGAACCAGTGCGTTTCGAAGACTTTGAAATTAGTAACATTAGGCACTTAACAGTCAGTCGATCGTTAATGTGTTCCTATTGGTCCAAGTCAACAAATTTGTGTTACTTATGAAAGTACGATATTAAATTTGCAAAATTCGTCTGATGTGTCCAAGATCTGTTAATCGTTATTGTATGGTATGTTTCCACATTAGTTTATTAATGTTCAGTGTCAACAGGAAACTGTGTCTGACTCCACCTTGCTGTGACCTAACATACCAATCACAAAATAGCTTTTCACATACGGTTTACTTAGGTCATTTAATACAAAGTTACAGCGGGGTTAGGCACTCTAAATTTATTTGTTAATACTAATTATATACATTTCATGTACGTAACGACATAATTAAATTGATGTAGAAACGTACCGGAAATTACTATATTTTTACAATGCCCAGTAGAGGTCAACAGATTAACCCAAAGTTCAGAGGCTACATTAGACGGATTTTACAAACACACTGTATGATTTTACGTGTCTTTTCATGGAAAACAATTTTGCACAAAAATGTTCAATCGTTTCACCCTGAGAAGGTCAACGCACTTTTTGATCGATCACGTTACTCCGGTCAACAGTTGTACAACATCGGTATAATTAAGACGATTTCATTCCCTCTAAAGAGGAGATTAACAAAAGATTGTTATCGCAAAGAAGTATTTCGCATCAAGATATCAACTCGTTTAATATGATTGTTGATCACACTTACGATTCTAGTCAAGGTTATCATTGATCACAAGTTGCACAGTATCTACATAATTAAGGCGATTTTATTTCCTCCAAGAGGGCTATCGACAAAGAATCTTTTTTCTAACTGCAGTATGTCACGTTAAGATATCAAACCATTTAATACTATTATCTAGTCTCTACTTCTAGTCGAAGCTATTGCAATAATCGGTTTTACAATGTCTACGTAACGAAAGCGACTTTGAACTCCGTTTTTTTCAGGAGAGTATTTCGTATCAAAGTACTTAACCAATAAAGGTTATTATTAATTATATCTACGATTGTATTGCAAGTTATCACGATCATCGTTATCACAGTATTTACATAATTAAGGCGATTTTTGTCCCTCCGAAAGAGAATCGATAAAGGATCTTTTTCTAGTTGTATTAAATAACCGATCGAGCTCTTAAGAATGAGAGGAGAGTGAATCATGTTTACCACATTTCGAAGAACCGTTGCTTGTAATATATTACTCAATACAAAATGTAGGAATGTACCTATACGTGACTCAATTTCTCAACTCTTTTTGTCGATACCATTCTGATTCTCCAGAGCTCATTTCTCCCTCTGAAAGGGTAATTTACCATATGTATGCCCAAAGACATCGTTATTCTTACGAACGTTCTGTGTCTTTGAAAATAATGTTACGTACAAGTTTACGATCGCAGAGAAGTTACAATTCTCCGTGCTGATGTTTGTTTATTTATTACGAACCCGTGGAATGTCCAACAATTTGTACGAAAATGTTATTTGCATGTCGGTGTGTGGACACAGAGGGCAAATATTTGCTATCGATATTATTTATATTCTCGTTTACAATGCATTGAACATTTTGTGATTGTCTGTGTTTCAAGTTTGTTGTCCATTGAATTTGTTATTGTACGAATCAACGTTCGCTGATCGAAATGATATATTTTATTCCTTATTAAAAAAAAAAAAAAAAAAATAGATAACACCTGCCAATGTACGTCATGCATTTTTGTAATACTATTTTCCATAAATTAAATACAATACATAATTTCGTGGAATAGAAGTATATAAGCTGCTCAAAATAATTAGTCTCGCCTAATTGAGCGAGGCATGTAGTTCTTTGAAACATATTCATACTGTGCAAACAGAACATTCGATAAAAATTTTTCTTAACAATGAGATCCATTAATTATTTGTTCAGCGTTGAAATAACACAGTATGGATATGAAAAACTGTATTTCGTATTTACATGCATTAACGGACGTGAAATAAATACGACTTTATGCTTTGATAATAGTACTTGAACGTTTGCAATGTTCTGAGTTATTGTTAATTAATTTTTCGTGGAAGAATTATTATGCTGCTTGGCGAACGTTTGTTTAAAGATGACTCACACGGGAATGTCTGGTTGAAAGTTCCTTCGCCTTTTGTTTGTTAAATATAAGCGGCTGCCCACACGTCCTGATAAAAGACATACATATATGTATACACATACACTTTATACACGTGTTCGACAGCATGAGAATGATTGCAATTGTTCTTTTCCATGATCGAAATATATCAAATTTATCTACGAGATTTTCAATAGAAACATTTGCATTGTTACTCAATAATTAGTAACGAGTTCTGAATTCAATTATTCTCTGCAATATAAACAATAGCCACTTAACTCAGTAATTTATTAAATTCTCAGAATTTATTTATCCATTCTTAATATTAGATTTTTAAATGTAGATCGTTGCATAGAGTCTTATTCAGAGTTACTTCAGATTGGAAAATATAAAAGCTTTATTTAGTATAAATTGTACAGAATGTTAACATTTGCTGCATACTTATAAATTAAAAATACATGGAATTAAATTTTTATATAATTATATAATATATTCTGTGTAAATATCCACAAGCTTTCCAGCGTCGCTTCCGCAAGAGCGACGCATTCCGCCTCCGTTTATGATAATAATTTATTGTCTCCCCGAAATTTTCGAACACAAAACCATCGTTCGATTTCCTATCGATCGTATTTTGTGCTTGGTTCGCAGAGCCGATTAGCTCTCGTTGACTGCATATCCAAATTTCGACAGCTCATTTAACCGGCTTAATTGAAATCGCGTTAGTCGTGTTACGAAATTTCACGAAATAAACATTGTCAATATCGTTAAAAACATTTAATAGAATCGTTGCTAATAAAATTATCCGAATAATTTACTCAGTGCATGTATCAAAAGTACTGAAACTTTACATGCGTGCAGTTCCGAGACTACTAGTGTTTTCTCCATAATTGAGGTATTGTTAGAAGCGGTGAACCTTCCCCTTTAAAATGGTTTTTGGTTTTTGTCGATCCGACTTTCCGTTCTCGAGATATCGTAATTTATGTGAAGGGGTAATTTTTTAAATTCCACTCTCCGTCTTACGAAAGCCTATTAACGCGTATTAAAAATATTAAAACTTTGGATGTCTGCAGTTCCGAAACTACTAGTGTTTTCTCTATTGTTAAGGTATTGTTAGAAGCGGTGAACCTTCCTCTTTAAAATGGCTTTTTGTTTTTGTCGATCGGACTTTTCGTTTTCGAGATATCGTAATTTATGTAAAAGGTAATTTTTCTTAATTTGACTATCTCTGTCTTCGTCTAACGCGTCGGACCTCCTTGTCGCACGTTGACCCACTGACCGAGTGAATGAGTGACGTCACGTTTACTATTTACTACGAGTCACGTGCGGCCAACGACCTTGACAAGGCCGTAGTAAACAAAGCCGGAGCCTCCTATCTCCGAAACTAGCCACCGCATCGACTTGAAACTAAAATCGCCATATCTCCGGAACTAATAAAGCTATCGACTCGTACAAACGCTCATTTTAAAGGGCATTTCATCCTCTATCCGATGACCATATCAACTACTCCAATTTATTTTGTCTTCCATGTTTATTTTCACATTTACTTTGACACTATGCACTCAAAGAAGTTTTAGCAATTCCTATTGATAACCGTGGCCGTTAATTGCTTCGTGAAAAGCAATATCCTCGTCTGGTGATGAATTCTTACGTGTATTTTCTCTGTAAACAAAATGTTATTAGTTAAACAAATTTATACTCTTCATTATTTATTTTTTAACAGCATTATGGAACATATCTTTTGCATGAGTGCCTTAAATATGCCACGATGAAATTGTTTATAGCTAATAACAATCCGGGAAAGTCTTATACCATTTCGTGTTTAATATAATGGCTGCCACTTCAGTTTTTCATGTTTAAAAATGAGATTTGTTCAAATTGTAGTATGAAACATAGAAATATTCGTGTACTTGTTATTTTACAACATTTCTTTCTAAATAATATTGTAACTCGTTATAAGTGCCGGTCACTGGTGACCACCATGACCATTGCTAGTCAACGTGTTAGTATCTAAAAATCCATGGAAAAATCGATTAAATATATAAAGAGGGAAGATCGTATAGCGAGGCAAACGACGATTCTACCTACACAAAATAAAAACAAATTCCACCTCTGGCATCGTAAAGTTTTGGTTCCACAAGGTTTACTAGGTATTTAACGACTACCTGGATGTTGTAAAGTTAATACCCTTACAATCGGGAATTTTCGGCATTCGTCGTAAACTATCAGACAATACCGGTGCCCTTCGTTCTCGCGTCGCAGTATTTCTTTGCCCGTCATAGTGTACGTATCATCGTGTAACCTTCGACGGACCAGTTTAGCAGATAATACAAAGTACGTAAACACGCCTTTTAGTATATTTCAATTAAAAATTCTTTCTGTATACTTTACATATCATCCAAATTTTCTTTCCATCGAACATACTTTAACAATATTAGTAAAGTTAAAAAAAAGTCTTGGAGTTTGCATACCTGTTTTAATTTCCGCATTTTTAACATTATTCAAAAGTTTTCGAATCTAATGTTTTCGATACAAATATAACGATAAAGGTACATGTATATTAATACACATTGAATTGTTTAGTGTTATAAATTTTAGCGACGATAACACTTACACAGAGATCGTTATAAAATAAACTTAAGAAATGAATAAAAAAATGTTCCTTTATTATTAATTCCAATACAAATTTGTTTACAATTTCTTTTACAGACATGTTAAGTACTTCATTTATAATTTCCTTGTTATTTACAAACGAAGTGTAAAGAAATATATTAAATGTCACACTCGCGAAGTTACAGAGAGTTACAAATAGTAAAGAAACTTTGGATCGAAGGTTAAACGAAACCTAAACGATGACGTAAACTTCTATTGTTCCGGTGTCTTATAGAAAAATATAGATATGTTAAATAAAATCCCCTCTGATCAAGCATACGATACATTTAACGTTATATTGTTCAATTCGAAGAAACTTTATTGTACAAATTGTAAATTTGGGACAGGCTTATCACCGTCGGATAGATAAACAATTTCCATTACGTGCTAATGAACATGGATTACTTTATAAACAATGGCGACGTTTCGAAAAACATTTCTTTTCTTCCTACACCGAGGCCGAATACTATATGCATTATATTAATCCATTTTTTTTTTTTCTTACACTTGGTCGAGCGATAGTGTTGCTCAATTTTTTTATTCGGACAACCATAATCTTGGCGTCTCACAATTAACGATATAATTTTGAGCGTTAGAAATATATGATACAAAACAAACCTTCCTCCATTCTGTATCGCATATCTTACGATAAATTCCATCGCGATTCGCGCATTTATTTACAATTTTCAAACAAATACGAGCAATTAATACGGTCATGTAAACGTAAAGCGAGAAACAATCTTATAATAAAAAATATCACCTTGTTCCTCGAACATTCTTTACAAAACGCATGAAATGATTTGAAAACTATCAGAAAAAAAATTAAGTTTACAGGGTACATTTTATACGAATGATAAATATTAAAATTTGGCTCTTTATAGTTTGTTTACATCCTTGACTCATCCTGTATAAAATCTACGCGTCAACTGTTCAGTCTTAACAATTGATCATCTTATTAAATATTATATTTGTTAATAAATAATGTTATCCAAGGTTCGAAGAATAGGTTAATGGTTTTAGTTACGCGATAGCGTAACGCTTTTTTCTTAGATGACCGACACGATGACTGTTAAAATGTACTTTTTAAGGAAACAGCGTTCGTAGAAATCGTATCTTACGCAATTACAATAGATTACATCACAAAAAATGGTTCCTGGCAGCGTAAAAATTTATAACAATATCCAACATTGGAATAAAAGCTAGATCGACGCGATTACTTCTTGGTTAAAAAGTTGGCAACAAACGCATTTCTCTGATCAGGCTCCTCAATCGTGTTTCTTCGCTTAGTTTTAGATTGACTCGCAATTGATCGATGACCGCGATAACTTTCATTTGTCTTTGATCGCCGAGCCAGCATATAAATTCTGACCTTGCAATATCTCGGTGGAAAATTGACTAGAGTATAAAAACCTTATTAACTATTTTATTTCTGTTAAAACTTTTCATATACATATAACATTGGTATCGTCATGCATTTTGTACAGCGGATAGGATAAAATTCCATTTAATCAGTTCGATTATGAACACGTTTATGATACAGTCAATATGTGTAATCGTTTTCTAGGTCTGAAGTCATTGTCAATTCCTTGTCTTCAGGGACACCGTTCGAATCTCATATCTTCCCCGATTAGTTTAGTAATGGATACATCGGGTCGTTTTATAAGTAATGCATAGAAAAGATTTTTAAATCACTTGTTGCATTGTTCAGGAATATAAAACAACGTTACTAACGAGATGACCTGAGACTTAGCAGAATAATGGTAATTTTAACACAGATTCAAGTTGGTGAAATTAAATTAATGAAATCGATTAAAAATAATTCATAGCACGTTAAGTCTGTTCGTTGGTAGGTTATAAAAATCTATTAACAAGTACTATAATAGCTATTCTAAGAGAAGAAACAGTACATACAGATCGCATAAAAGGATCCAACAACGTTAAAAAATGAATCAAAAGACAATATTAGTAAATCTTTCAGACTTCGCAATACCATAATTGTATTAAAGGAATCTTAATCGAAATAGAAGATCCAGTATGTAGGAACTTGAATTTTTCCCCGTCTCCACAATATTAAGAGTAAAACGTTACGTGTACGAGAATCATTATAACCGTAATAAATGCAATGGTATTTACTCAACAATAAATCAATCGATTCACAGTCTCGATTTGTTTCAAAGTTGGCAGATTTGTGTTGCGGTCTTTTTAGAATTTCTTACTGCTCGGAAACGCCAGCAACAAGTACGAGTAACACTAACAGCTAGAAAATTTCCGTTTCGTTAACGATCAGAATATAAAATGATATAAATTTCCTTTGCAGAAGCTTGAAGAAACGTTACTAATCGTTGAAATTAGTTTAATTCCGCAATATTAATAACGTTCTCAAAAATACGAATAAATTTAACGATCGACTACTCCTTGATTGATTAAATTAATTGTTTAAGCTCATCTCTATGCTACGCGCGTCATTTTGAATCCGTGTGATTCGTCCTGCTTTAAAAAGTCTGTATTTCCTTTTTTCTGACGAAGGGACGGCTTATTTCAACAAAGTTTATTATACTATTCCGGTACACGAGCGTTCGTGGATCGAGGCTGGCAGTCGATTAGCTGATCGAACCTTTTAACGAAGTCAATAATGCCTAACGGAGTTCGTGAACCCTTCTCGAGTTATTCGATACGCGTGCTTTGACGAAATGTTGCCGGTCGCTCGAACGATCGCGAGTTTCGTATTTAATAAATCACCACTTTCGATTGTAAAATGTTTCTCGCATTCTCCGTGATAATATATTGTATATATTTATACATCGTCTCGGATGGAGTTGCAACGTTGAACACATCGCACTTAATCGTTCATGAACTCAGTTTTTTCGTTCACTCGTAACCTCGTGGTCTCCTAGCAACTGAATTATTTCTCCGTGGAACAGTTACTCCGGCAACGGCGGTAAATTGTTTCCTAAATCGAGATTCGATACCGCATCGACCGATTTCCGTTGCTTTCATTACGTGCCTCGACTTCTGCGCTGACTCGCGGCGAGTACCGACGATGAGACATTTTTGCGATCGCGTTGCAAGCTATCTCATTAAAAAGCGAGTCGATTTGTTTAATCGTCGGCTATGTCATGGTCCTCTTCGGTTTCCGCTTCGTCCTCCTCCTCGCTTTCAACGCTTTGCACCAGCCTCGCGTACCTGTGTAAGAAACGAGAAAATATTCATTTTAATGTACACGATACTTCAACTACCTTGAATAGCTATGTATCTCCGTCGACTTATACATATACATTTACTTTTACGTCTCCATGAGAGTTTTCCTTCAATTTTCCTAGCCCTTTTTAATTAGTTTGTCACATGTACGACCAAAGAATCGTTCTAATAATAATTCGAAAACGTGTACGATTCATACAAGTTCTAGTTTTTTTCAGAAATCTCGAGAATGTTAGAAACTATGTTACACGCGTGATTAGACAGGGTGTGGTTAAATAATATGTACAAGTTTATTTTATTTGGAAACTGGACGCTTTTAACGCAAATTCAATACCATAGTCACTTCGATTCTTATTCGACACTGGTACGCACGGTATTAAGCTCACAGAATTATTATTATTATTTATTCGTTGAAAGCATGTGTAACCAGTCACTCTTAAATAATCAGGAACTGGGGGTTCGTAACAATAGTTTGGAGTTATCTCTTTAGGTCGAAAGCGGATTAAAGCGTATTTGTTTGTATCGCGCGTGCAGCGTCGAGTTACCATAAATAATGCAAAACGATCAAGGTATCTTGTTCGTGGGAAATTAATGAAATGTCGGAAATGAAATGCATATTGTACATTAATGCTTCAAAGTTTTCATTCAATGTCCGTACAAATAGGTTTTGGAACATTGGCCATTGCGAGCAGGTAATTCTTTACAAAATTCACCGTGCTTATTGATTCAATCTTTTATCTTAGAATGTATTTATTCGAATGTACAAGTTAAGTCAACCATAAAGTTTTTGGTATGGTCGTTTGCCATAAAATTACCTCAGATATGTAAATAATAAGAAGCTTACACTGTAAAGTGAATATTAATAAATAGTGCATAAATTTATTATTTTTAAGAAAGGCAGAACTTTCCCTGCATTGAAAATTTACAAAAATAAGTAACAGAGTGTAATTAAGTCTGTGACAAATATGGTAAAAGGAATGAAAAGGTAAATACAGTACCTGACGGTATATCAGACAGGAGTCGTTTTCCTCAACGTACCGAAAGACCATTCACTACCTCTAATTGGTGGCGGCGGTGGCAAAGGTTCATCGAGGTCGAAAGTAACGAACTCAGGTTGAACACCTGGACTGTATTCTTCCTCCTCTTCCTGTAAAACATCGGCCGTCGTACTGACCTGCAAAATGGAATCACGAACGTGTGTCGATGTTCGTCTGGTTAAAAAATTAATTTAACCGTGTCTTATCATTTCGTTAAACGATCGTTTCGAGTCGAAGATTCAGGAAGTAATCTGAACCAATTACAGTAATATTATCTTATTAGTTTGACAGAATATAACATTGCTCCAAATATTAGTCGATTGTTTTGTATTTTATACAGGGTGTTCAATCAATTTCTTTACTGAGGCTTCATTAAATTAAAAAATTTCCAATCATTCTGAAAAAATTATTTTTGGTTTCTGGGGTCAATTTTAATCATTTTTGGTGAATAGGCATACCCTCGAAATCCTACCCATTTTCTAGTAAAAAATTCGAGAAGGTGTGAAATTTTTCGGTAAAAAAAAAATTTCGAATCGTTCTAAAAAAATTATTTTTGATTTTTGGGGTCAATTTTAATCATTTTTGGTGAATAGGCATACCCTCGAAATCCTACCCACTTTCTAGTAAAAAATTCGAGAAGGTGTGAAATTTTTAGGTAAAAAATAAAATTTCGAATCGTTCTAAAAAAATTATTTTTGGTTACTGGGGTCAATTTTAATCATTTTTGGTGAATAGGCATACCCTCGAAATCCTACCCATTTTCTAGTAAAAAATTCGAGAAGGTGTGAAATTTTTCGGTAAAAAAAAAATTTCGAATCGTTCTAAAAAAATTATTTTTGGTTACTGGGGTCAATTTTAATCATTTTTGGTGAATAGGCATACCGCCGAAATCCTGCGCATTTTCGAGAAAAAAATTCTGTACAGGCGAAACTTTAAACGTTAATAACTTTTTAACGAAGCCTCCATCAAAGAATTAGTATTCTTGATTTTCGTCTTATTTTGGCCTCGAGAATCTCCCATTACAATTTTTCACCGGGGTGGTTGAACACCCTGTATAGTTTGCAATTTTTTTGCAAGAAATAATGATAACGATTTTAATTGAAACTTTTAATTTTCATTAGGGAGTGTATATTTTACCGTTTGAGTAGTAAGGTCCCTAGGAAATTGTCTGGAATAATCATGATAATCCAAATTCGGCGGGGGCGGGAGAAACTCGTCGAAGTCGACGTGGTCTACCGAATCCCTGCCGAAGAAATATCTCTTTTGATGCCTTTCGCAAAGAAAACCACTGTGGCCGATGTTCGCATGATTCGCGTGGTGCACGTGGTGATTGTCTAAGTGATACACGCCCTGGAAATAAGTATTATGAAAGGAGAACGAATTTTCAAACATAAAATGCGGACGAGTAAACATTTTATTAACCGATCTACCTCGACTATACGCACGAAGCTTTATTTTACAAACAAATCAAGTCTTCTTACGTAATCTAGCTTTCCAGCAATTAATAAACTGTATTATAGTCGGTCATAAATTATTTATCGTGCCAAAGTTAATAATGCAGCGTGTTAATCCCTGACAACTTTCATAAATTTTTTTCACGTTTCCGTGAAATTGCAATATTCTGAAATTGCTACGAATTAATTGCGCATTATTTAAATACGTCTACCTTAAGAAACAATATTACGTTACACAATAAACACGACTTTCCTTAGACGTTTAGACGCGCGTAAAAACGGTTTTGCATTTAAAATTATGCATAATACGGGAAACATTAAAGGTTCATTGTTTCAGGCGCTACTAGGTGAAATGCATAAAAGATACAGCAAACCCCAATCTGCATAATTATCACGCGTGCGCTTTATAACGCGAAGTTCTAACCTTCGTTCCATTAGCATTTTTACCATTTTTTTCCATAAAATGTTTAAAAAATTCTTGCAGCTTGACTTGGAACGAACAATGATTAACGTAAGGGATATTAAACGATCACGAATATGTCTATCGTTTAAGGTTTTTATTGAAAGTCACTGTCCAATTAGATACGTCGTCCAATTCACTTTAATTTTTAGTTTTATTGGTTCTCGAATTTATTAGAAAATGGAAGCTGTTGCACTTTTACAGACGTGGTAAGAATGAATGAAACTCTGGGTTAACACACGGTGCATGGATCATTGTAGGGTCTGGTATTGTTCTTTCCATTTTCTTTCGCGGTTTCGTTCTCTGCATCTCTCGTGTATCTTTTGTGTTTGCTTTCTGCATTTATTAACTGTTTATTTTTCATTTTCCTTGCCTGAATGTTCTTGTTCTTTTCCTCCCTGCGAACAGGTTGTTACAGCGCGGATCGAAAACGCTGATAATTCTACGCGAATGTGATTTTGCTCGTTTTCGCGTGGAATTAATGTCGTGAGCGCTGGTTGAAAAAGTTTACGTACGCGCCGTGACATAAATACGATGCACAATAGAACATCAATTATCTGAACATCGATTATCCGTACGTTGGTTATTCGTACGATCATCGAAGCACGAAACGAGATACGTGACAATAGCATCGCGAAAACCTGTTTGCTCTTTGAAAATTCTATTAAGCAGGCATAAAAAAGTAATTATCCAAAAAATTTCTACGTAAAAATCGTTAACGGGAAGTTGTTTGTTACTTGAAATTGAATTTACCTGGATAAATGATGCAAAAAATTAATAATCGGAACTTTGCCTCTATTGTGCACATGCTGTAACAATGTACTATGCAATCATAATGTTCCACGAATGCAGAAAGACTGCTGATTGCTACCACAGAGTTCGCGGACTCGATTATTTAATTGTAATCGCAGCAATGTTTCAATTACACGCGTTCTTAACGGCATAGAATTTTCGGTGCTTAATTGCAATTCACAGATTCAAAGGTAGCAAATTCCTGCATTCTTTCGAGCGAAGGGTTGTAAAATTCACAAGGGGAACATACGATGCATACACATCGATTTTAATGAGGCTTTGTGGGTTAATATTTGATTCGTTAAAAGCCATTAAGTCGAACGAAACAGTGACGAATATTTGTTGAAGTCATTTTCAGTTCTGCCGCATCATCATGTAGTTTCCTGTTAAATCTATTTCGTATCGATGCTCCAAGTTTCACCCCAGAACAATGTTGAAGGGTTAGACGGGCGGAGAGGAGTAGAAGTTGTACCATACATATCTTAGGGCGGTTTCCGAAATGTGCAACGCCTACAGGCCTGATGCTGTCATCCTGCATGTAGACTCTGCAGGAACGTTGAACGAGAGTCCTTTGTTTAAGTACACGTAACTCGACCACATTTCATTTTCCCTTCTCCGTTGTGTCAACTGCCCTTAAAAGCAGCACGAGTGGACTATTTGTCAGTAAAAGTTATTATATATTCTACAGGGTGTTCGACCACCCCTGGGAAAAATTTTAATGGGAGATTTTAGAGGCCAAAATAAGACAAAAGTCAAGAAATTTGTTGATTGAGGCTTCGTTAAAAAGTTATTAAAAAATTAAATTAAAAAATTTCAAATCGTTCTGGAAAAATTATTTTCAGTTGCAGGGGTCAATTTCAATCATTTTTGGTCAATGGACATACCCCCGAAATCCTAACCATTTTCGAGAAAAAAATTCCTTACCGAAAAATATAATGTCTGACCATACCATTGACATGTTTCACTGAAATTTCAAAAAATTTTCTAATCGTTCTGGAAAAATTATTTCCGGTCGCACGTGTCAATTACAATCATTTTTAGTGAACAGACATACCCTCGAAATCCTAACCATTTTCGAGAAAAAAATTCTTCATTGAAAATATAATGTCTGTCACCCTGAAAATTGAAACGTTTCAAATCATTCCGGAAAAATTATTTTTGGCTGCAGGGGTCAATTACAATAATTTTTGGTCAAGACACATATCCCCGAAATCCTACGCATTTTCGAGAAAAAAATTCGAGTAGGTGGACAAATGTCGTTCTACGGGCGGAACTTTGAACGTTAATAACTTTTTAACGAAGGCTCGATCAACAAATTGGTATTCTTGATTTTCGTCTTATTTTGGCCTCCAGAATCTTCCATTAAAATTTTTCCCAGAGTCCTTGAGAAAAGTGTACTAAACAGAACATTAACTTCAAACTTTTTTTGTATCAGTTTTCTTCGATAGATTTGATCAAAATATGTTTATAAAATGTGGGTAGTTCTATGGTAATGAATTTCCTTTCCTTAGAGTTGTTTTCAGTGTTTCAAGCTGCTATTGAAACCTTTCTCTATGTTTGATTTAAAGATTCCACGTATAGGAAACTTTCTCCAACTAATAAGCACGTTTGACGCAGGTAGTACTAGAGAAGTTTCGCAAGGTTCAAGCTTGAAAAGTTCCAAAAAACTCCTTTCGGAACGGCAGTTTCCTCTTTACGTTTGCTCGGATCGTCGATATAAATCGCTGTCGTTTCAACTTTATTTTCGCGTTAGAGTTTAAAAAGAGAAAGACTAGCAAGGTGAAGCATTACCGTGACAGTTTCGTTGAAAATTGCGAGACAATAACTATGGAATGAGTGTACGAGTTACCTTGCAAGAGAAATCAGGTCGCCTGGTGATTGGATTGCAGCCTATCGCGACGAATTCCTTTTACCAGTTGACTTTATAACTTTGATATTTGCTTCGAAATCCCTGTGCTTTGAAAAAGAACACTCAACGTGATTTTCATTCGTTTCTTTAGAAATTTTTAGTGATTCAGAAATTAATGTAAATATTATAATCGAGGAAAAGTTCACAATCTATTGATTAGTTTTGGGGATAACTTTGAACATTTTGGTAGTTCGCTGTTAAGGTGGCAAGCCATGAGATTAACTTTTGCGTCTTCGAATATCTGGCTGCGTCAAGGTTGTCAAGTTTCGTTATGGAGATGTGATCGAGTTGGTCGAAGTTCAATCACAGTAGAGATAAGTACGTTGCAACAGATAATCCTTAATACGATTATACTTCAGGTCCGTTACTCGTGAAACGTGTACCGCGTACGTGAACCGCTCTCGATGTTTAATTAACACTACTCCGTATCTCGAGATCGAAGTACAAGTAACTTTAACTTTTCCTGAAAGAGTCTACACACGTTTATTCAAAACATAATTGTGTCTATTATAAAAAGAAAACATCCTCCTATCAAGATTTTCGAAAGATTGAAAGTGCATTAGCGTTTGTATCGAAAGAAACGTGAAATTCTTTTTCAGAAATTTTTAAATCTTCCCATTACGAAACATTTACACAGTTGTTACTGAACGATATTCAGATTGGGGTTTATAATTAATATATTAAATATATTTTAACGTGGACAGAATATTTCCCATGATCTGTGAATGTCAACATTTTTATTGAATGGATTTTAAACGTTGCAATTATCGCAGAATATCGTACACGACGTTTGAGAATGACATCCGTATTGTTACGGGGGAACTTCCCCCACACAAATCTTAAAACGCAAACATAAACTTTACGCTCAAATTTGCAGCTCGTACACAAGAACTACGTGGATATTTAACTAAGAAGTTTATTTACATAACAGCTTTATCTCACGGTGGAAACTTTAAAATTGCAGCTGAGTTTTTTAAAGAACAAATTATCTTTTCTAAAACTTTGAGGAGTATCAAAGATTTACATTTAGTAAGAAAAGAGTAAGATTAATTTTATAAAACTCTTTGAGAATGAATTAAAGTAGAATCGAGTGTAATTGAAATTCACGCATTGTAGAAGAAAGACAATATTGTATTATTTTATTGTTAAATAAAATTCCGGTTTGCATCGGTGTCGGAACGAAAGGCTACCACTAAAAATTATTCTCACCGTTTTGATATTCTGCCAATAGAGACTAACGATTTCCAATTCGTATAATGAAAACTTTTAAGCGGATGTTAATTCTGTCCAAGTTTTCCAGTATGGATGAGCCGGCGCTAGGAAGTCGTGGAAAAGAAGCTAATACTACCAACCCCGTAATTTTTTCGCCTGGAATCTCTTCGTACCAGTTCTCTCTGGTGCCAAGAAATATACAAGAAAATGGCGTAAGTGCCAGCGACCTCGGTCGTGATGAAGCCACTCACGTACAGCAGAAATGAGAATCCGTACCTGTAGGTGAAGGGTGGTCCCTGAAATCGCAAGATTGCTGCGAAGATATTCATTCGTACAAGCGCGCTACAGATAAGAAGTAATCTAAAAGGTAACGAAGAAAATATGAGATCGAAAATTTCGTATCATACTTTCGTCGCTACGTAGACTTGGTTGTGAAATTTTACACTTAAATTTCACAATTTATACGAAGGCTTAGGCATTTAAAATTACTCTGACAAATATCTAAAATTTTCTATACTCTGCTTGGCATTTTATTTCGGAACGGATATCGTTTACGTCTCTGCGTGTCATTTTTCTATTAAATCTACGATTAAAACACGTTCCATTCGAGCTCGAAAGTTTAAATATTTTTTGTACACGCGGATAGAGAAACGCGATACGTTTAGATCATACTGGAATTTCACGACGAGCATTTGAGCCATTTATTCGATCGTTTGTTGTAAAAATAACTACATTTAACTGACCTCGAACGACGATCTTGGCCTAAGTTTACTACCAACTTCAGCTTTGAATACAGATATGTACATCACCATTCCCACCAGCATTAATAAACCTGAAAGGGAAAGCGATTTAATACCTGGGACCTTATCTCTCTGTAACAGCCCTGTGACAATTTCACGGAGACTGACCAGCTTAATAATAATCGATCGGGCAACCGTAACGCGATTGTTTAAATTTTAATCTACGCAGTCGAGTCTCGAAGGCTATTATTATGTTAAAAGTTAATCAACCGATGTTTGCAAGATTTTTTCTTTCGAAAACGACTAGAACAGAAAAAATATACGTTACACGGAGTTATACTCTTAAAGAACTGTTTGTACAAGCTTTTTACAATATTGAATGTCGATTCTCTGGTATTGAATCGTTTTTATCAATGAACGGAAAATAGTATTTGTTTAGCGTCGCTGCACAAAAGATCTCTGTAAAAGCTATTTCATTTAAAGTATTTAAAATCTAAAGAGAAAAAGATGACTATTTAAACTCCACTTTCGCTTATTTTATTATTGCAAGATTAGAGTGCAATTAGCGGTTTTAAATCCACAGAAATTCCTTCAGAAATGAATATGAACAGTGGCAGGGACGATTTGGTTTCTTCAATCCGGTGTTAAAATTCTTTCTTCACGCGGGGGATTATTGTTGTTCTTCGCAGGCGTAGCCACGGACTTAAAACAAAGTTTTATCGCGATTCTATCCGTTTTTATATCTGCCTGGTTCTACCGTCAGCACACAAATTTCATTTCTATCGTTACGTAAACCAACAAGACGCGCTCGTTTTTGTTCTGGTATTCGTAGCCCTTCTTTTGGGAAGTCGGTGTGCATAAAGTATTGCGTACAATATAAGCCGGTGTACTTTATTACTCACCGGAAACTATGAAGACCACTCCGGCGACAAAGACGCAGAGTCTGTGTCTCGGGTGAGTAACGTGAGCAGTGAAGTAACAAACTTCGGCTACCACTAGCAGCGATGTTGCAGCGAAGAAGAACATCGCCGACTTGGTAACTGCATCTGCGTAAAAAATATGGGCATGAAAGGCTCGAGGAATGGGAAAACTTCGCGGGCGAATATTTTCCTTTTTCACCCGGGGAAATACCCCTCGGTCGAAGTACGAGAACGTCGACGAGAGGAAGTTGAAACGATAGTGAAACGCGATAGTAATAAACAGCACGTTTTATAAATACCACAGGGGAACGCGCAACTACGAAACAAGTCGTTCCAGGGTGTAAAATAATTGGTAATAACAATGGTAATTTAACCAGCGATTTTAAGGTCTGCGTGCTGAAAATGGTATTTTTTATTTTTACAGAAAAGTTAAAACTCAAGATCAATTTTACTGATAGAATTAATTAATACTGTTCCACACGGTATAAGCATTTGGATTCTGTAGTGTCGTTGAAGAAACACGCATAAAATATAAACATGGGATCGTGAAAGAAAAACGACCTTTTTCTGCAATCTCGTATCGTTTGAACGATCCCTTTTCGCGGACGAAAACGTAGAAAGGGGGGGAAAAAGTGGTAAAGAGGGGAAAAATCGGGATGGACAAATTGTCGGATCCAGTTTATCATGGGAGGTGCATTCTCCCAGCTGAAAGCATTTTCCCACCGAATATTTTACGGACATGTCACACTCCAGTTCAGTACCAGACACAGGACACCTAATCAACCCCCTTCAGAGGCACACGTTTCTCATTCCACCTGTCTCACGGTGCGTTTTTCATGGTACTCACATGGTATTGCCATCGTTGAGTCGCTGGGATCCGGACTGTACTCCTCGTTTGGAAAATAGTCAATGCCTGAGCACTCGTATTCCATGCGGGAGCCTGCGGAAGACAAAAGAACGTGATTCGTACGCCGGTACCATCCTCGCGATATGCACATTTCCGACGCACATTGAGCGGTAAATTGTCCTATGGCCAACTAAATTCGTCTCTATTTTCGGTTATGTGTACGGATTCAATTTAGCACGGACGCGCGAATTTTTCTCGTCCACGGCACGGCTTTATAGTTCTTTCACCATTCTGTCATCAAAAAGATACGAACGGTCGTTATCTATATAACAACCCCTCTGTTTTTTCTATACGTATCGCAGAAAACACGTAGCGTCAAATATTTTATAAATTTCATCGTGGGGTCAATTGTTATATAAAATATATCATATAAAAGACAATCTTTACAAATTAACATTATTTATATTCTTAATGAGTTCGAATAAAGAACTTTTTTTTTTTGTACATCCAAGCAAGATAAGAAAATACTTTTTAGACATGTGAGAATTTACTGTGTCGATAATTTTTGATAATCTTTACGATTCTTTAAATAACTGGAAGTGTTTATAAAGGGAACAAAATGGTGGAGTCTATCTTCGTCAATGGATTGCTTCCCTTTTATAATTTTCCTTATCGACAGAAATAAAAAGAAAGTTGCTGGAACGATTGGATGGGTCGGAAGGGGACAATAAACGCCTTGTTATTTTTTTCTGAAAACTGTTGAGTAGACGAGGTCCTGTCGATGAGAGCATCACGGTGCACCATCCAATCTTCGCTTTCCAACACGATCTGCTCTCTCCAAAAGTAACTTAGCAAACAGCAACATGGCGTTTAGTTCTCTACTCGCTCCATGCAACTCGTTTTTATTCGCATGAGCGAAGAAAACTATAAAAGGGAAGCGATTCGTTGATGTAGACGAGGATAAAAGAAAAATCTCCGCCGACCACGAACAGCATTACTTTTACAGGGTTTCAGAACTATTTCCAACGTTGGAAAGAATGTTTCGACAAGTGTATTGACTTTCATAAAGATTAGTTCAATGGGGACTAGAAAATGAAATCACAGGGGGGGAAATATTGGACTTCTTTTTAATTCCGAACAAATAATCTTTTGTTCGTGAATTTTAAATTTAATAAATTTTTTAATTCATTAAAAGTTTTATTATGCGAAGAATTTAATTTGAGAAGCGTATTACTTTCTTTCGCCCTCGTGCTAAACTAATTAATTATATTATATGTGTGATATATATTACTATTTTCGAAATATGTGTTCATGTTAAAATTTTCAACTATTAGTTAATTTTAAACGAAGTAAAATTATTTTTCTCAATAAGCGTTTTGATTTTATTTTCAGATGTAAGCTGACTGGATAGACTTCATTGAATAAATTATTACTGACGACCCGCTCAAACCAGGTAAATTTAATGGCAAAAATATTGCTACGAATATTTAATATGAATGGTTGCAATTCAACTTCGATGTATCCAACCACTTATTTGATTCTGTATCGGTGAAATATTACGCGGTCGTTGATTTACTTTCGAAAATGCGGGGACGAGGCAAACGTTCCGTGTTTTAGATAAATTAATATTCGAATATTAAATTAATAGAGAAACATCTTACAGTTTCACTCGGATCGTGTTTATATTGAATTTGTTTCTGGCAAAACGAGTATTATATTTGATCTATTTCGATACTCAGTGTGCTACAATTTGTTGCAGAATGTTAATAAAATGTCGTCGCGTATCTGTTTAAAAATTTAGTGGCGGAGATTCGGTGGCGGGAAGATCGAAAATGCAATTGTCTCCGCCTTTTACCTGACTGCGCGAAAACAGGAATTGCTTGAAAAAAAGAAAGAAATTAAAAGGGGAAAGGGTGGACGAATGTAATTTGTATGTTCCGAACAAGTTCAAATTATCCAACCTTTTTTGCTGTCGTCGAAGCATACGTTTTTCATTTCACTCACAGGATTAAATTTAATTGGAACGTACCTGCCAAACAAAGGTAACCTGTGACCTGTGAACTCTGAACAACTCTGCACTGATTTTGTTTTATATTATTTGATCGAACAGAATCGATACCACTCTCAAACGGTTCTTGTATTTGGCACATTAAAAGGGACGTTGATTTTCAAACTTTTGTGCCTCTTTTTTTTTGTAAATTACTAAGAAAAAACTACTTGTATATATACGTATCGATGGCTCGAAGATTTTACTTGGAAGTATAATATGTTTCAGTTATCACTGGAAAGTTGTTTTTAACCCTTAAGTGGACTCTCGATCTGAATTATTTTACTTAATATTGATTTTTATTGATTGGTAAATGGAAAATAACTATTCTTCAAAGCATTTAAAAAGTAATGAACTAACGGAGGATCACATAAATTTACAAATAATTACATTGACTCATATTAAATAATTATTAGCTTGCGGAGAAGATTTAAGGGTTAAAACCAAATTGATGCAATGACGAATTATACGTTTTGAGTAGAAATATGCAATCCAAGTCATTGAAAGTATATTATTTTCAAATGTCTAGAATTGTATATAATGTCACATGAAAAACAGCAATTTTTCGTAAAGCAGACGCAAATAGAAATCTATTGATATGCTTTCTCAAACATCGCGATGAAATTAAAGGCGGCCGCAAGCTAAATAATCCTGATGCCCCGGCAAGCTATCAAACATTTCGCGCTACGTACTGCGAAATTAAACGGAAACAGGTGGTAAAACGCGAGCGTGTTTCCAGTGTATTTACCTTCGGTAGCCGTCATTAAATCCGAACCATTTGCGCGCACCGTAATAGCGAAAGGTGACGTCGCGATCGTCGATTATAGTCGGGGCGATGGACGGCGCATGGAAATTTTATTTACATACAGAATTTCGTATAAATCTTCGCGCGTGACGGGGTTCCGGGATCAAAAACGTCTCTCAAAAAAAAAAAACGCTTCCTAAGAGAACGTATAGCCCGGTAAACGGGGAACGGGGAATTGGGTTGGCAGGCGTGGAATAGTCATTTCCGGTTCGCGCCGGAAGTCGGCCGTATTGCCTCCCTTCGACAGTTGAGAATCGATATTCCAGGTTCGTTGTCGGCGTGCCCACCGGCAGAGTCATAACAGAAATAATAACTTGTCGGTGTGCATCGCGGTGCAACGATGCACCGCGGTTGCTGTTGAACCGTGACCAGGGAACCGGATATGTGCGGATCCTTTGGCAACTTCCCATTCTTGTGACTCCTCGTCCCCAAGACGCGAGTCTGTCACGACGGATACTGAAGCACTTCTTACTTTTATGAACGGAAGCTTATGAGTCTTGCTATCCGAGGATCATCGAAACTTTCGACCGAGGAGTTATTCGCTCGCAGAAATTGGGGACACTCCTCGAAACGAATACGAAATAACGCGAAATTTTATGAAATTAGTCGGCGTCATTCATCGTTTATCTACTTTATTATATTTAAGTACATTATTACAATAATTAAATCATTTTATTCGACTGAAAAATATTTGAATTGAAAAACGAACCTTGATCGAATCTATCGACTTCTTCATTTTGGACTTAACGACAATGGTGTACAATTTTAGATCGATATTTTTTTAATAATTCGTAACTAACAAATATTTATATAATGACATAATTATAGTAATAACGACCGATAGAAATTAGGATTTTGCATACATATTTGCAAATGATTTGAAGACCGTCTCTTGAGCAATAACTATTTAATAAATCCCGAATTCTCCGTGTATGGAAATAGCCAGCCTTGTTGCGTTAATTCTACAAAATCGTATATCCCAGTGATATTTTCATCGTTTCACTGCGCGTTGCGTTGTTATCTGTACTTCGAGTGGTCAAAATTAATGCCAAAGGTAAAAAGAACACGCGGTGCTAGCGTTTACTGTCAGGGATATGAGAGATATAAAGTACATGCTGCACTCGACTCGATTTATGATCATAAAATCTGTGCCGGCCCGAATTATTTCATAAAGAGAAACAAACGAGGATTGTTCAAAATTTTTTTTAAAGCTGAACACAAAGTCTCCAACGTATGTAAAAATGTGGTAGCTCTGAAAAGAGCTAATTTCATTCTGGAATTTTGGAATTTTAATCTGGGCACTATAGAACGCAGATTTTTAATCTTAAAATAAAGAAAAAGACTTTATCGAAATGTAAAGAAATTATAAAAAAAGAATGTTATTTTAGTATGATGTTTAGTGCGGGTAGAGTTAGTGTCGGTGACAATTTATGGTTATTTTCGAAAAGTGCAACGTCAGTAAATTTAGTGCTTTCACTGTGCCATGGAGATTGTATAGAGATGTTGCACAGGATTCTTTTGTCATAAAATAACTCGCCCGTCACGTGCCATCATCCCTTTTCTACTGCATCATTTGTCATAGAGACTGGTCCCTACCCTAAGAAAAGTTACCTGATATTTTCCAGCCATACTTTGATCCTTAAAAAACGTGTAAGACACCGAACTTCGCTGAGACATTCTTAAAAGTGGTATTAATGTCATCGATCGAATAGTAAACCTAGCACCGTATTCTAAACCCTGTGGATAATACATTATCTAATTGATCCAGCTTCGATTTCTTGACGATTTTCTTTACAAAATTTTTAAATGTAAACCTTGCAAATTTTACTATAAAAGGTGTTATAGTTTATTCGCAGAGAATTCCTCAAGAAAGTCTAAAACTCACTGAAATAGAGGAATAAATTGGAACTAAATAGTTAACGATGAATAATCAGAATTCTATTGTATTAACAACAACAGTAAGAAGAAGAAGATTTTTCTGATGGTCTGTTTATGCTGCTCCCTTTTATCTAGCCACTCTGACAATCGTTTGCGGTTGTCACGAGCAAAACATTTTTTGTAACACGTAATAATTCGATCCAGAGAGGGATAGCTTTTGTTCAAAAGAAATAATGCTGAGCAGACCTTGTTCCGACATAAGTTATCGGTGGGCGTCAAGTCACGCGGGACCCACTTGTCACCCACATCTTCCTTGTTTTTTCCAATAGCTTTCAGAGGATAAAAATACCTTTCGATGGCAAC